GAAAGACTTGCCTAAATTCCATGAGAACTCCTGCAGAATTTCTGAAGAATTAAGAATCCTTGCTGAGGCTTATTGTCCGGGGCTCTCTGGTTATATCAACTTGCTCACGTGGCTGCTGGCCCAGGGGAAGCCGGGCTATGAGTACAACCGGCAGAATGGGAAGATCGCAGAGAGAGGTTAGCTTTAAGTCTTGATGAGATGGTCACCAACATATTGGAAGATTCCCAGGCCATGGGTAAAAAATTGCTAGAGGCAATTCTACAGGCCTTTCTCCAATGATCGTTCGACTGAAAATCACTCTGGTAAAAAAAATAAAGATGAAAGTGCACGTTTATACGACTCAGCTGCTTCAGTTTTCTGAACACTCTGGGCTCAGTTTTTCTGTTACTTTTGAGGATGTTTTTATATCCAGTTTTAAACCTTAGATCTTAACGTAGTACAGTGGCATTGATTAGAGTAGGAGACAGCTTCTGTGGTTGAACTAAACAGTTTAGCTTACAAACTTTCCTCAGCTCTTAGAGCTGAAAGCATCTCTAAGGCTGACAAATTAATGGCCCTTCAGGTGCAGCACTGGCAATCTGCCAGGGAAAGAAAAATGCAAACCTCCCACCAATACAAAAGTAGGCATTTCTCACTGTTATAAAAAAGAACCTGGCCTTTGGAAAAGCGGATGCTGTGCTTTGAAAAACAAAGCCCTGTTTCAAACATCCTATAATCTGATCCAGAGTGAAGGGGTGATGGGGACTAAACAGGCACCTTTCCGGTGGTGATTCTTAATCTGCAAAGTGAAACCACTTTATTCATTAGTAGATTGCCTTGCCATTTTTAAATTGATAGTGGGGCATCCCTGCCTGCCAATAACTCCCATCTGTTTACACAGAATACTAAAACCTGAGAAGTGGTGGGATCACCAATCTAGAATAAGCATTAACTTAGCCTCACTCTGTTCTGATGTATTTTGTTCCTACTGAAAAGTTACCCCCCTTTTTGATCAGTTCAGATATCCCCAGCGATCCATCTATTGGGAAGATATCTTTTATCTGAATGTAATTGTTACTCGCATCGTAATGAAAAGGATCACTGTTATTGAATATGATTTATATTAACATATAAAATATGATTATATTTGCTTGCTATCCCTAAGTCAACAAGAGGCAGGCTCTGAATTAGAGAATATTCAGGAAAGAAAAAGCTATTTGCTACATACATGCTCTTGTCCTGCTTTTCCGAAATTCAGTTCATCCTAGTCCCCTTTCTTCTGCTATATTTTCCTACTTCCTGAAACTCCATGACTCACCACTTCCCCAAATGTAGGTCACGTTCTGTCAGCTGAGTTAATGAAAAGTATAAGATTTATCTCAACCTCAGCCCCAGTTCTCCCAGGGCCCAAATTCACTCAACTGAGAATCAAAAGGAAGACTAGCTCACATCATACAAGATTTCCTTTCCAAAGGTTTAATTGCCCTTTCTACTGGTCCTTGTAGTACACTGCCTCCAGTATAAAAAAGCATGTGTGCGCACATATACACACACAGACACAGCCGCGCTGGAGTGTGTTCAAGATTTATGCATACTCAACTATATTATTATTCCTAGATTTGCAGTAGTCCTGAATCCCACTTATTACTGCCCAAATTTCCTTCAGATGCAACTAACTTTACAGAGGTGGGTCTTTGCAGCGCCTTTCCCAGTGTTCCTGTGTATTCCGAAGGTCAGTATTTGTTTGCTTTTACCTAGGGGTAAAAGGGAGAACCTGGACCTTAGTAATACTCTAAGGATTTACTGAATCTACCACCCATTCACTATTCAAGCAGATCCACATAGCTGCTCTACATTGACGATTTATGAATATGTTCAACCTCCCAGAAAGCCTGCTTTGCTGGCAGTTCAACTTTATTTGAAGACCATCTAGCTGCTGGTGGATATAAGCCTTCCAAAGAAAACTTATAGATGGCTTAGCTTTCTGTTAAATATTTGATCCACTTAATTTTCACAGAAGGCATCTCTATTGTTCTTAAGTGGAGAGCCACCATTCTTTTCTTTCCTATGCCCCCAAAACAAAGAGCGAGCTGCAGGAAATTCCTACAACTCTATAGCTATTGTTGAACTTGAATCCTCAAGTTATTTCTGGGCTTAGGATAGATGAATAAAGGCACTCCCCAAATGGAACGGACATGGAATAGACTTTTCTTTCCTGGTTTAATCTGTATACACACAACTGTATACAAATTCCAAATGACACAAGAAGATCACGAGATTATATTTCAACCCAAAGGGGCTTCCATGAACCCACCTTCCCTAATCACAACCTAGATTTTTTTTCTTATTTGTACATGAAGTATCTGGAAACATTTTAGGTGTACTACCTTAAAAACGTGGAAGACAACCCAGACCAAGAGGGTAGTATAGCCTACAGCTTGACCCTTGTAGCCAGAGGAACAGTCCTTGTCTTCTGGCCGTAGCTGCTACTACAGATCCAGTGGAAATCATAGTAGATGCAATGCTGAGAAACATTCTAGATGTCTAGGTGCCTCCTCCAGTGTCTGCTTCCACACAATGTCTTTCTCCCAGCAAGCTCACCTCATAAGAAGTTCTCCCCCTACCTCATCTAACACTAGACAATAATCCATGGCTGCTTAAATGCAGATATTCTTTTCATGACTAAAGAGCACAAACTTCCTGCATGTTTGTCTAGATTTGATGTAAAAGAGATCCTGTAATCCTGATGTAGCTCTGTGAATAGTTCATATTTAAAGCCTAAACCTGTTAAGCCTCACTATCAAGTTGAATCAGGGTTATGACGTTTATTGAAGTTCTTAAAGTCCGGCTCTCCCTGAAGCCACTTTAGTCCAACAAGATGAAGTAATGACCCTTATTAGACCTTATATAATTGCTTCAGAGAAATATATTAACATTTTTATGGAATAGATTATCATTTGGGATTTGAACATGATTTTGACTTGTTCAAGAAACAAAAATGATTTTTAACCTCTTCTAGAAATGTCATGAAAGCTGGAGCCTCAGTAGTGAACTTTTTAGACACATTCAAGGTCATCAACCCAACCCAACCCAACTGAACCCAACCCAACCCAATCCTAACCAACCCAACCCAACCCAACCCAACCCAACCCAACTGAACCCAACCCAACCCAATCCTAACCAACCCAACCCAAACCAAACAAACCTAAACCAATCCAACTCAACCCAAACCAACCCAACCTAAACCAAGCCAAGCCAAACTCACTGCCATTGAGTTGATGCAGACCCATAGCGACCCTATAGGACAAGGTAGAACTGCCCTTGTGGGTTTCCTGAACCGTAACTGTCACAGGAGTAGAAAATCCCATCATTCTCCCATTAACCAAAAGGAGTACCCCAAATTGAAAAAATTAAAGGGAACAATCTTTTTGTTTCGGCAGCCAAATAAGCTGCCTCCCAAGTGATTTCTGTGCTCATGATAGATGAATAAAGGGCCTCCCCAAATTTGTCTTTTGGTGAATCCAGCCTTCATGCTTTAACTTTAGAAATAAACAAACAAACAAGTAAACTTTGACAACACCAACAATTAGACCAAATAAAGGCTTTGAAAAAGGCAAGCTGCTATAAAGATCCGACCCTATCAATAAACTGTAGACTGGGCCTCATAAGAAAATGGTCCTGCCCCGTTTCCTGCATGCTCCAATGATACAAGTCTTATGTGAACGATCTAACACGGGCCAGGATAAAATTATTGAGACATAAAAAAATATTTTGAAAAATAAAAATAAAAAATAAAAAAATATTTTGGGGGAAGTTCTTTCAAGGCTGCTGAACACATCGTCACCATGCACCTATTCGCCCTCACTACAATCCTGGAAAACACTGAAGTCTCACCTACAAATACGCCTCACCTTCCAGGCCTGTGCTTGAATGACAGCTAAAATCTATTCAGCTTCCTCCATCACCAGTTATAAATATGTGTTAGTAATGAATTATAGATATTTCCCATTGGGTAGAAGGCTGCCCTTGTGTTATGCTATTGCAAGCATTGTAGCAAAGAAACTTTTAGAAAAAGTTTGGCAGAGCTCTGAGAACTCTTTGTAATGACTTAGGAATTCATTTGATGGGTCAAGTCAGCCAAGAACTGTGTTGCAATTTTTCTGTTTCTTAAAGGTTGCATTGTTCCCATCATCCTCATTCTTCTGCTTTAGAACAGAGAGCTGGTAGAAGAATAATGACCCAAATGAGAAAGCTTTAGGAAACCACATTTATCCTGGACTGATGTACTTCCCCTGGTTCTTCAATTTGAGGATCACACACACCATTTGGATCTCACAAATTTACCCCCGTGAAATAATTCCGGGGAGACCCATAGTCCTTTTTTATGGTGCCTGAATTGACCCTAACATTGCTCAATTGTTGTTCACTTCTTTCTTCTTCTTTTTGTTTGCGAGGCTTTATTGAGGCGGTGGGGAGAGCAGGGAGGGGCTGGAGGAGCATGTGGGGCTAACGGGCTGCAGGTGGGAGCAAGGCAGGGGTGGAGGCCTGGCTCCAACTGAGCAGGGGCCACAGCGTTGCCCACGGAGGTGCAGGGGATGAGCAGCTGCTGTGGTCCAGGCGCGTACTCCACAGGAGAGACCTGCGCCGTGGTCCGGTCCTGCCTTGGCGTCAGCAGCTCCAGGGGTTCGGGCCTCACCCTCTTGTGGCCTGTGTGAGCAGCGAATACCTCCAGGTCATCGCAGAGATGCTGGAAGTACTCACCCAGGCTCTTCTTCACCATTTCAAGAGCCTTTCTCTCCAAGGGCACCTTCGCAAAGAGCTAAGGGGGTCTCACAGCGGCTCAGCCCAGCATTGGCGGGATCTGGCTGGGGTCTCGCTCGGGTATGCAGTTCTAGACTTGTGGGGATGCTTGGCAGTCTTGGCTGGTGGGATTGGTTCAAGACAATGATGGGGTCTCCTGACCTGGAGAGAATCTGGGGTCCTGGGCTCAACTGTGGCCTTCCTGTCTTTTCAGAAGAATCCTCTTGCCCTGAAGACCCTCTGGCTCCTCATCCTCAATGGCCACAGGGCATCCGTCTGCTCTGCCAGCTCCGAGCGCCCTCAGACCATAATGGTGCAGGGGAAGAAGAGTGATTAAGTACCATGGATTGTCAACAGAGCACACACATCTGTCTTGGCAGAGGTGCGGCCAGAATGCTCTGTAGAGGTAAGGATGGCGAGACCTTGTCGTACATACTTCGGACACGTTCTCAGGAGAGGCCGGGCCCTGGAGGACATCCTGCTTGGTAACGTAGCAGGGCAGTCAAAAAAGAGGGAGGCCGTTGACCAGATGGGTGGGCACAGTGGCTGCCGCCATGGGCTCAAAGATAAGAACAGTTATGAGCATGGCGCAGATCCAGGCAGAGTTTTACAGAGGATCTCTATGAGGGTCACCACCCCCACCCCCACTAGAAGAGCTGGCTAAATGATCTTCCACATCCACAAATAGTGCTCTGCATCCGACAGATCCTTTATAACTGTGGGATGAATTCGGGCAAAGGCGGTAGGTCAGGATATTTCCTTTTTGCGGGACTAATCTAATGACACCCATAGGAGTCATCACTAGACCTTTGGGGTGGCTTCCTCTATCTGAATGTGCATCCATGATAACGTTATAGACTAATGACTTGTTCATCACTAACTGGTTGTGAGGGCAGCTGCAGCGTCGTGGTTGGGCTGCTAACCACAAGGTGAATGGTTTGAAATCACCAGCTGCTCCTGAGGAGAAAGCTGAGGCTTTTCACTCTAAGTAGCTACAGCCTCAGAAGCTCACCGCGGGCCATTCTCCGCTGTCCTGCAGCGCCTCTGTGAGTCAGGGGTGACTCGATGGCTGTGATGCTCCTTGGGTAGCCCTGATGGCACCTTTTGGCAATGTCAAACCAACCTCTGGGGCTGGATCCTTCTAGGCTAGATTCGAAGATGCATTTGGCTGGAGCTGGACTCAGGACATACTCTAACTGAAATCCCTTTTGCAGCTGTTGCACCAGTATTAAGTGCGAGATGATCTTAATTGGCTTAAGTACTTAGCAGTACTGTTTTCACCTTGGGTAGGTTGGAGATGTTATAGAACTTGTAGCAATATTAACCAAAATGCATACAAATGGCCCTAAATGACAATGCCTATGGATTTTAAGAGATCATACAAAAATAGTAATGATGACAAAAGTTGGACTCCAAGATTGGATGGCCTTTGATACTCATATGGCAGCCAAATGAAAGTTCATGCCACAATGAAATCTGAGTGCTTTAGCTATATTCCTGACAATAGTGCTAACGCGCCACTCTATGTTAATCATATGCCACACGTAGTATCGTGCCTTAACAGCCTGTTTCTTCCTTAACTGAAATGATAATGATTTAATTTTTTCCCCCTTGGTGGTGGATGGTGGAGTAAAAACCTGCCACTTTGTTTTGGAACCTTTATTGTTCTTCTCATTTCTATTATTGTAATTATAAAATGCTGTTTTTCTGTAGTTCAGTGCATTTTATTAACGAGATGGTGTGCTTCAGAACCATTTGGCCTTTCAAATGAAATCATGTGGATTTCACAGCTTTCATCTATGATTGTGTTGTTCAATCACTTCCCTTTTGTTTTCTCGGGTATGTTTCCTCTTGACTGTTACCGTTCTGTCCTAAGGAATATTCCTCAGACATGGCCTTCTCCATTAAGATGTCCCCATAAAACATATTCACCCTAGAGATGAAACTTATTAGTTCAGCCAGGTGCAGAAAGTAGTTTTTACCAACCATATTCCTCAAGAAAATAATGTCCTTCCAGAACAAAGGCAGTTTCATGATGGGTGACCAGCAGCACCTAGCAGAGACTTGATCAAAAGGGGGAAATGTAAGTAGAAAAGTTTCAAACTGGAGATACACATGTCCATATGTGATATGGCCAGCATGCATTGCAAAGAAACAAAAGGCCAGGAGATAAACCGCTTTGGAAGATTTGTCAAGATGTGAACAGCTTGTTCCTGGGTAAAGAAGTGCATCCTGACTACAATGCGATCCGATCGATCGACTACACTCTGGTATAACCAGATCAACTGTCACCACTTTCCCAGGTGGTTGAGGACTCCTTCCTAGCTAAGTCACCAATACTTACATTTCACAGCTTTTCAAGCTGAAGCTGATCTTACCCGCCCCACCCTGTGTTTCCTTTGTCACGTATATTCACTGGTCCCTTTCTTTGCGTGAACCTCCACTCTTCAGTCAGTTTGCCATACTGTGGCGACTTGCACGTTGCTATGATACTGGAAGCTATGCCACTGGTATTTCAAATACCAGCAGGGTCGCCCATGAGGAACAGGTTTCCATAGGATTTCTAGATTAAGACAAGACTAGAAAGAAGGAATAGGCTGTCCACTTATGAGGGATGGGCCACTGAAAAGCTTATGAATAGTGGTGGGATATTGTCTGTTTTAATGCCAGAAGCCGAGCCCCCAGGTTAGAAGGCTCACAAAGTGACTGGGCAAGAGCTGCCTCTCAAAGTAAGGCCAACGTAATGAAGTAGATGCAGCAAAGGGCTTTCTTCTGATAGCTTTCTTCTCATGAGTTCTTCTGGTAGGGTTTATGGAGTGGATTGATGTAGATGATTAAAATATATATGTGTAAGAATTCAGGACTCTCATGGTTCCAGAGTGGCATCTAGCTCACTCCTCAGCCACAAACTTCAGGCTTTGAGCAAAGGTGACCTGGTTAACACCATGAGGGAGAGGCTTGCCAGAGGCTGCCCCCTTGTGCGCTGGGTGTTTAGGGCCACTCTGATGCACACAAATCTGATAGATGCCATAACCTTGCTTGGCCTTGTAACTCAGGCTGTGTGCCTTGTTGGGCTGAGTGGAGAGGGGCACCCTGTGCAGCATGGAGAGCTGGTGGTACTGCAACAGTGTACCCACAGGAGAAAATGCATCATATTGAACTGCTTCTTCCTCAGTAACACCTGGATGTACTTCTATGCACCTATCTTGGCTTATATTCATCATCAAAAATCATTTCAAGATGTCTCTTGAAGTACAATGCTGTCTGTGATAAGATACTACCTCTATGCCCACAAGGAAGACCAGCTAATACAACTATAAATCACATTGATGCACCCACCACTAAACCTGGTGATGAAGAAATGGAAGGTTTCTACCAACGTATTTAGTCTGAAATTGATCAAACATGCAATCCAGATGTATTGGTAATTGCGGGCACGGTTCATGGATGCTTGCAGAAAATAAACTAGTAATCAAATGAAAACAATTGCCAATTGTAAGAATGGTGAAGAACATGTGCAGGAGTCAAGGTCAGGAACTAACCCACAGGAAAGCCTCTCTGGGAAGTCTAGTCTAGTCTGTGACTAGAGAGGTGAAGGTGCGTGGGGAGTTGAAGGCCAATGCTTTAGCCATGCTCTCTCAACCGGGCTTGGATAAGGTCAAGAACAGTTCATTCCTGGTTGCACCCTGGCGTGTGCCTGACTCTAGATGTGCTGCGTGATTGGGAGGCGGGAGGAGCCAGACGATGAAGATGAAGGGCCTTCCTCTCCTAGACAGCCATCCCTTAGCCACGCAGGCGAAGACTTCAATGAACATATAAGTCTCAACATAACTTTTAAAGATGTCAGTGAGATGCAAGTTAATGTTCAGCAACCGTGGGGTAAATAATTTAGCTTTACCTAAAGTGAGGCGGCCTTTGTCCTTGGCTCTGGGGAACAAACCCTTGGTCCGGAAGATTTGTGCTGCCGAATGGTAGATGTCCAGAGCAGAAGACTTAACTGGGGGACCGAGATCAGTTTGTCTCAGGAGGCACGGCTTAGCTTATCATACCAGACTCATCACGAAAAACCTGAAACACTAAGTAAGGGTCAGCGCTTCCTGTTTGGCAAAGGGACGGTGGGTGATGTCACTCTCTGAGACATGGCAGCTTCCTGTTGGGCATCTTCCCAGGCCTTGCCTGCACATCTCTTCCTTATAATGATCTAGATTGATGTTCTTTTACTACAGTAAAACCATAGTTGTTCGTTTAACACCTTACATGAGTTCTGTGAGTTGCTCAAGCAAACTAATGAACCCAAGGACAGTGGCCTCTTAACCTGCAAGGCCTGACCTAACCCCAGTGGCTAAAGAGAAAATGCTGTGTGGACATCTGGTGCTGGAAATAGTGGAGAGGTGGGAGAACAGCAATAGTAGTCTTTGCTTCCTGAGATTCAACTTAAAGTCAGTTCTCATCCATGATGCATCATATTCATAGTATAATAATTAGGTATAGAAGGAATTCTCCAAGTAAAATGTATTGAGACACCCGGATGCCTCAGATGTTGAGAAGAAATTTGGGAAGGAATTTTAGATACTCTGACAACCAAATTTGTCTATAGTTTAGGGAAAAGTTTAATTTTTCTCTCTCTCATCTTCCCAAAGGGGTTTACCATTGTTCTGCATGGCCACTGAGTCAACTAGGCCAATTACGTTGACAAGAAAGCATTTTATCCCACTTCTTGCTACCTTTCCAATGAGTCAGTTGAACAGAACTCTACTCCATGCTCTGCAGAAAGAGAGCTTTTCCTGTTTGTTGGCTGGCGTGGCTTACAACTGACATAGCAGGACCCCACTCTAGCCAGAAACTCCAGGTGGCACCACCACGCGTGGCCTGGCCTCTCCCAGGAGTGACTGGCGTAGGAGACATTGCATTGTGAGTTTGGGCGATGGTTCTGCTGTGTCCTCGCACTTTAGTTGCTTGTTCAACAGGTAAGAGTGAGTCAGAACTTAATGAGTCTTCTCCCTACCGGAGTGAGCAGTGTGGCACTCCTACCCTGGGGCCAGGGCCAAGTCTCCTTTCAGGCTCAGCTCAGGAGCCAGAGTGGTGTCTTCCCCTCTTCTCCCGGGCTGTCATTCTGGATGTGGGACTTCCTTCGCACTCCCCTACTCCAAAGCGTCGCTCATAAAGACAGTGGCGGCACGAGGAGAGGAAGAGCTAACTGTTTGCTCCACCGGCTCGTCTCGCTTAGTAAAACCCACAGCAAAACCATCTCTGCGTCAGGCCATGGGACCAGTACCTGATTCTCACTTTGCTTTCTTTCCCTCATCGATCATCACAAATCGAAGTTTGTAGTATTAAGTTATGGGGTGGGTAGGGGGCCAGCCCCCACCGCTACTACTACCCACGGGTTCAGTAAGCACAATTGTA